TGTGTGTGTGTGTATAATTTTTTCAAGCATATTTTATTTAATGTGCTAGATTTTCAATGAAGCAGTTTCATGTCATTTTCGATAAGAAAATAATAATAATAATAATAATAATAATAATAATAATAATAATAATAATAATAATAATAATAATAATATAACCGAATAAAATATTTTGTGGCATTGTGCGACTTTGTTTTTATTTTTAGTAATATATATATATATATATATATATATATATATATATATATATATATAAATATATATATATATATAAACCTAATATGATTTTATTTATAGTAATGTTATGTTTAGCGTACGACTGTACATATGTATGATTTAATAATATGTTTATATGTAACTATAAGTGTGTGTATGTATATATGTATATTAGAAAGAGGTAATCATACAGAGAATTAATTAGTAATATTAACGTAATGGCGAAATCTCTTCGCTAACAGACTTAATAGGACATTAACGTACTAACAATCCATTGAATGACGCGATCATTATGTATAAAATTGTTGTCGAATGGATCTGAGGTTTTTCTAAAAACAAATCTTTCGGTCCTCAATATATTTATTTGGTTTTAGAGTTTATTTGTAAATGTAAAAAATACAGCCTAATGATGAAAGTGTGAAATTTTCGAAAGTACTCGCTGATCTTAAACACCAGATGCATCTGACAACAATTTTATACATAAAGATAGCGTCATTCATTACATTGTTAGTAAGGTAATGCCTTATTAAGTGTGTTAGCGAAGAGATTTTTAATTAATAGCAATATTAGCAATAAATTTTTGTATAATTACCTTTTTTAATATAAAATATATACTGCCCAATATAATGCATATCATATATATATATATATATATATATATATATATATATATATATATATATATATATATATATGTACGTTTGTAATATATGACAAATCCGTTAAATTAAAGATTTTCGTCATGCGTTTCTGCCATTTAGTAATCTAACATAAAGGTTTCTGTTTAGTCTGATTAAATCCTTCAGGGGACAACGCGTTACTCATAGTTTTTACACTTTGTCATTCATTTGTCTTATATTGTTCTGATATATATATATATATATATATATATATATATATATATATATATATATAATGTGTTCCGATGAAAAATTTTAGGATAGACTTTAAGAAATTCTGGCCGAGAAATTTTCAGCACTCATTTAAAGTATTAATTTAAAATTCTATTGGACATGAAGTCGGGGGTCGGTTTTACACTGTTAATAAGTCATAATCTGAATCTCTTCTCTAATTTTGTTAAATAATTTCTCGGCTTGATTAAGAAGGCTTTCCATATGGTTCTAATGTCGTTCGGCTATTCTTTTGAAATTTGGTCGACCCGAAATCATTAATATGTATATGTGTGTGTATGTTTATTTATGTACCTGTATGTGTGTGTGGGCTTGACATTAGATTAGGTATTTATATGTGTTTTCACGTCGTAATAGAATGTGTCACATGGTCGAATTTGGTGTGAAATTTATGAAGCCGTTAAAAATGACTCAACTCCTCTCGGCACTTCCCCTATTAGGGACACCCCAAGTGCCGAGTAATGATAGCAACCCCCTATCGTAGGTGAGATACAGCCTGGGGGAATGACACCCTTGATTTAATATTCATTTCAAACTCACCGGCTGGGTCAGGAAATTATGTAGCTACAGAAAAAAAAATTATCAGCTCAAACCAGCGTTTCTCAAACTTTTTACCCTTATGCCACCCTTGAAATAGCTTCCATGTCTTGGGCAGTTCTTGCATAAAAATTATTATATAAAGTCATTAATATTTTATTGTAGTTCACGTGGCGCAAAATGGGTATGACGATAAACTACATCCGGCAGCAATGCCTCTGATCTTGAGGTTTTGAGGAGTATGGAGCCAACTCTTAAGTGCTGGTGTTCCCAGGTTCACCCTGACTCGGGGTGGTAGCACCTGTTAGGGTTCCAGCTATGGGCAAGTTAACCCCGGGATCAAAACACTATGAAAGTTCAAAAATTGATTTTTATAGTAAAAATACCAGCAATGCATTAAAAGATAAACACCAATTAAAAAAATACCAGCAATACATTTTTGTAAAATAAATTACTAATGCTCCCTAGAAAATTAAATTTCAGCATTAAATGACCCATAAGGTGTTGATATGCCGCTAAACAAACGAACTCAAAATCTTCATTTTTTGACAGTGTCATATTGTCATCAAACGGTCACCCATCTAGGTACTGACCAGACTAGACATTGCTTAACATTTTTGTAAAAGAAATTACTAATGCTCCCTAGAATATTAAATTTCAGCATTAATGATCTATAAGAAGTTGATATGCCGCTAAATAAACGAACTCAAAATCCTCATTCTTAGGCAGTGTCGTATTGCCATCTAGCGGTCACCCATCTCGGTAGTGACCAGACTAGACATTGCTTAACATTTTTGTAAATGAAATTACTAATGCTCTCAAGAAAATTAAATTTCTGCATGAAATAACCCGTAATAAGTTGACATAACGTTTAACAAACAATAGCAATAATTCATATGTAATTATGATATCCGAACTCCGCGCATGCGTCTTGTAATCGAGTGATTCACTCGATACATAAATCCGCCACGTACAGATGACGTTTCAGTAACCAGTGTAAGCGGTTTTAAACTGACGCCATATAGACATTGCTAATAAGTTCTCTATGATTATTATAATTTTAAATAAAATAAGCTGTTGAAGATTTTATTATAATAACTAAGGATTTTCTAACAATATGCCTTATGTGTATAGTAAAATTACGGATACAAAATTAAACAAAAATTACTCTAAAAGGTATTAGTGTATTTTTCATCGTTTCTCATGGAAAATCTAACGACCACTTACGGAAGCCTAGGGTTCAAAGGAACAACGGTTGAGAAATACTGGTTTGAATTGTCCATCCTATTCTAAGTGTTATTTAGCATATTTATCTAGAGTTGTTTGGTCTAACTGTTGGGCACAATGAGAATGCAATTGCCCGACCGATTATCATTTTTTTTTCTTTGGAACATTTTTGCATTTCCTTTAGACTGAAGGGATAAGGTGGGAATCCACCTACCGCAATGAATTAGATCTTGATTTTAAACTGCTTTCTAATACTCTATTACAAGTTTCTATGTTATTTTCAAAGCAAGAGACCATTTCCTTTTAAAGTTGCTGCAAGAATTGTGACGAATTATGACGATCTTCGAGGTCATGAGTGAATTTGAATTTAAATTTTTAGATATAACCAAGCATGAATTATATATTTTATAGATTTGTTTAAATAAAATAAAATAAAAATTCCGAAACTGGATATATAAATTATACTTTGTAAGAATATGAATTTGCGCGAACAATGAAACTTATAGAATTCATATAAATGCAAGCATCATTTTTGGATGTATTTTAGGGTATTTATACCGAAAATGGAATCGACGTGCCGAGTTCAAATTCTAATGGAATTTCTTGCGTTCACTTTGCAATAATACCCTTGAAAAAGGCATGAACTCATCTTCTATCTGTGGATTAAAATGCAGGCAGGTCTTTCTTTAGGTGGACACTAGTGTAAGAAAAGGTGAACTTTGAATTAAAACTATCGTAAATTATAGTGCAGACTGTGTGTTTTTTTGCCTTGGTAGGTGAAGAGGAACTCTAAAACAAGCCTAAATAAAGATGAAGACTAGGTGAATTTCATGCCTTAGACGCACACACATTGCTACCACGGCTGCATTACAAAAAGTGTTACGGTACTTATGCATTTGTATGTGTAATAAAATCAAAAAAAATGATCAGGCTAGCGTATATGCAATATGCTTGCACGGAAACTGTCTGTATATTTTGTCGCTAGTGCAAGGAATACACCAAGAGCTATTTCCAGTTCAATGTCGACACCACTGTGTGTGTTTATGCGAAGAATTTGAAAATAAACTAAATCAGTTATATCTTTAGATTAAAATATATCTGTAACACGCCAAAAAGGTTTGTGTATTTTGCCTGTCATGCTTGTCACTTTTAACGTCGCTAGAATAACAAGAGCTATTTTCCGTTCAATGTCGACGCCAGGTGGCAGTGTCTTCGCTATGACAGGGGATGACCCTTCACATGATGAATGCAAAAAAATTATTTCTCTGTGAAAAAGAGAAAATACAAAAAAAAATGGGGTTCCGATAATATCTTTGTATGGATGCGCAGAAGGGGAAAATATAAAAATTGGAAACATATATTTCAAGAATCACATGTAAAAAACAAAACTTCCCAGTTTATTAAAAATTTAAGGAAACATAATATATATATATATATATCAATTCTGAAGACCTAGTTGACTAACAATGATATTAGACAAACAATACACGTGAAAAGTTCACGTTTTTTTCTATTTGAATTTTCGTATGAGGCTTAATTCTTAATTTCATGAATTAATAAAATCATGGCGAGTTTTACGACTATAAAAAGCCCGCGAAAATTCCTCCATTGCCTTGTTGAATATTTGAGTTGAACAATTTTGACAAAATATTAAAATAACAATCATAAATATGAATGCATGGCAAGTCATTATTGAAAGAAGTAAGAGGGTACAAATAAAATGATTCAAAATTTACACGGTTTTGCATTTCACTGAAGAATATATTCAACACAAAAAATGTCATCGCCTTCTCTATCTTCACTTTCTTTCTTTTTTCATTCATTCATTCTTTCATTTCTTTTTTCTTTCTTTCATTTATTCCATTTTGCTTATTTGGCTTATTTTGCTTATTTTCTTTCTTTCATTTATTCCATTTTGCTTATTTGGCTTATTTTGCTTATTTTCTTTCTTTCATTTATTCCATTTTGCTTATTTTGCTTATTTTCTTTCTTTCATTTATTCCATTTTGCTTATTGTAATTCATTCATTCATTTCTTTTATTTACTTTTTTTCGTTTATTCTTTCATTCCTTCTGCCCTACATTCATTCATTCACTCTTTATTTCTTTCATGCTTTCTTTCTTTCTATCTTTCTTTCTTACTCTCCTTTTTTTATTCGTTCTTTCATACTTTCTTTCTTTGATGCATTCTTTCTTTCTTTCATTCATTCATTCTTCCCTAAATTCATTTATTCATCCACTCTTTATTTCTTTCATATTTTCTTTCTTTCTTTCTTTCATTCATTTCTTTCTTTCTTTCTTTGTCTTGCTTACCTTCTTTCAGTCATTCATTCCTTTTTTCTTACTGTAATTCATTCGTTTTTCATTCATTTCTTTTCCATTTTCTTTCTTTCTTTCAGTCCTTCCTTCATGCTTTCTTTCTTTCATTCTTTCTTTCTTTCGTTCACTCTTTCCTTCTTCCTTTCATTCATTCTTTCTTTCTCTCTTTCTTTCTTTCTTTCTTTCATTCCCTCTTTCCTACTTACATCCATTCTTTATTTCTTTCCCTCTTTCTTTCTTCCTTTCATTCATTCCCTCTTTCCTACTTAGATTCATTCTTTCTTACTTTCATTTCTTTCTTTCTTTCTTACTTTCATTTCTTTCTTTCTTTCTTTCTTTCTCCTAAAACCAAACAGCGCTTTTGATCATCAATATTAGACAGACACATTGTTTATAGTGTTTAATGGCAGAGCGTAACGCACTTGAGAATTTCAGGATATTTATATAGAAAATGAAAAAAATATATTTAAAGAGCCACATATGTAAATCTTCTGATAATAAGAACAATCTGAACACAATATTTTGGAAACATTGAGAAACTAGTATTAAAGTAATATTCTATCGGACATAAATGGGGGATCAGTTTTCAATTGTAATTAAGCAATAAACTGATTCCTTTAGATGTTAATATGATAACAGAAAATATATTTAAGTCTCATATGTGCCTAGGGTAAATTTACTTCATCCGAAGCGAATAAGGGTTGTTAAGATCGGAGATCGCTGTTTTATAATCAGGACACGCAATCTGTTCTCTTTTTATCTATAACTGTCTGTCTATCTATCTATCTATCTATCTATCTATCTATCTATCTATCTATCTCGGTCTTTTCATATTTCTCTGCCTATCTATCTGTCTATCTATTATCTCAATCTTTTCACATCTATTGCTCTATCTATATCAATCGTTTCATTATCTATCTGTTAGCTCTCTGTGTGACTATCTCGGTCAGTTATCTACCTATCTATCTATCTATCTATCTATCTATCTAGCTAGCTCAATCTTATCATTATCTATCTCAATTTTTTCATTATCTCTCTCTCTCTCTATCTATCTATCTTTCATATCAGTTTTTTTTTATATCTACTTATCTCAATTTATCATGTCTATCATTTCAATCTTTTCATATTTATTATCTCAATTATTTCATATATGTCTATCTATCTATCTATATCGGTCTTTTAGTATCTGTCTATCTATCTATCTATCTAGCTATCTTTCTATCTCGGTCTTTTAGTATCTATCTATCTCTCTATCTATCTCGGTCTTTTAGTATCTATCTATCTATCTATCTCGGTCTTTTAGTACCTATCTATCTATCTAACTATCTATCTATCTCGGTCTTTTCGTATCTATCTATCTATCTATCTATCTATCTCGGTCTTTTAGTATCTATCTATCTATCTATCTATCTATATATATATATATATATATATATATATATATATATATATATATATATTAGTTCTCTGTGTGACTATCTCATTCTGTTATCTATGTATTGTATCTATTAGCACTCTCTGTGAATATCTCAGTATGTTACCATTTCTATCTTCATATTTAGCTGAATGTGGCTTTAGTGCTGTAAATGATTTGTTATTGAAGAAAAGAAATCGACTGGATATTACTAAATGAGGAGATTTGAGCTGATTAAATTGATGTCTAATATAAAATCTATCTGTAGCAGGCATGACGCACAAGGATCTCACTAACAGTTATTTTGGGATGAGTTCTAATTTCATTTTGCATTATTATTTCATGATTAAAATGATCAAAGTATATTACAGAATATGCTTTCATTCAAATATTTTATATTTCTGCCTTTCAGTTCTCTGTTATAAATTTTGAAATTATATATATTTAATCGTTTTTTTGTTTTTTTTAATTTTCCTCTTTCATGAACGCCATGTTCTTTAGAGGCTTGTTTAGAGACCAAGTTAATGGCCTTTTAAGCTTCTTTCACGTGAACTGCAGTAAAATTTTGAATAAGAATTCAATATTACAGGGGGAGAGCACCAGAATTTCAGAAATACCAAAGTGGGGTATGACCCAAAATCGGTTGGGAACTACTCGTCTAAATATACACCAGAAGCAGCCGACACTGTATGGCAGTAATAGTTAATGCAGGGACCAATGGTAGACTTTACATTGTTTAACTTATTCCGCTTAGACCAATAATTCCCAAAGTGGGGCGTGGTCATATTTCGGTAGGGCATGCGGAAGACGTGCGCCCTTCTGCTTAAGATACTAACAGAATAAGTGAATTGTTTTCTACTGAGTCTGAATGAGAGTGTTAATATTAATGCGGATTAATACATACAATGCATATGCAATATGCATACATAAAAGATATTTTTGTGTATGTATGTTTGCATGTGTAATTGGCAGAACATGTAAGTATTCAATATTACAGGGAGGGCACTAGAATTGGAGAAATACCAAAAAAGTAGGGCATGGCCCCAAATAGGTTGAAACAAATGATTTATCCCATTGTATAAAGAAGAAAGAATGTTTTATTTTACAAGGGAAATGTGTCAAAGTGAAATAAATATTTTTAATGTATTTTTGGGTCATATAGTCTAACCGATTTCATTAATTTTTATTTTTGCTCATCTTTTTTGTTCAATTTTGCTATTATTATTGAAGGGCATGCGTATGATGCCCCCTTCAATTTATTATACCAACAGAATAAAGGGGGCAATTCGAGAATCAGTTATTAACATTGAATTGTTTTCTAAAAAAGTGTTAATGCTTGTTAATACATACAATGCATCCATAAAATATTTTTGTGTATGTACGCACATGTGTAATTGGCATACACGTAAGAATTCAATATTACGGGGGGGGCACTAGAATTTTAGAAATACCAAAGTGGGCCATGGCCCAAAATCGGTTGGGAATCACTGACTTAGAAGAAATAAGTAAAAGACAAAATTTATAAACAGTTATGAAGGACGGGAAAAGGTGGAGAGCTCTTGGCTATGGTACATAGACTTTTTTTTATTTTAAGCCCAGTACTAGACTGGCGTCAAGATCTCATCAATTTACATTTGAGATAGCTAGATGTAGCCGCAGGTTCTATGTTAAGAGTTTCCTCTCTTACACTTCGCGTTTGTGGAACTCCCTTCCGGGTCCATGCTTTCCAGCCAACTTTAGTTAACCTCAAGGAAAGTATTTCATTGCGCTTTCTCGAGCTAACGTTCTCAGCTGACATGGAAGTTGAAAGACTTTATTGAACCTATTGCAAAGTCGGCTGCTAAGAAAGTTGATTCACTGTGTCGTGCGAGACAATATTTTTCTCCAGAATCTATCTCGGACATCTATAAGTCTATGTTTAGAATAATTCTGCCAAATATGGTCCGGTTACCCTTAATATTTTACTATGAGCTCCTTGATAAAATCCAAAGAAGAATCAGCAACATTATTGGTCCCGATCTGGGGGCTCGGCTTCAGTTACTTGCCGACCACCATAAGGTTGTCTCTCTGTGTCTTGTTCAGATGAGCTCTTTACTTTAAACGCAGTACAAGACTGACGTCGAGATCTCATCAATTTACAGATGAGCTTGATAGATGTAACCGTAAATTCTATGTTAATAGTTTCTTTTTCCGTATTTATTGCTTGTGGAATTCCCTTCCATATCCACGTTTTCCAGCCACCTTTAATCTGCAAAAATTTAAATGCAATATCAATCGCTATCTACTGTCTTCCTGATTACTCATTTCTCTTCCCGCTCATTACTGATGTTTGTTTCTAATTCTTGCACACCCTGTACCCCCCTGTGTCTTAGTGGCTTTACTGCCTTGCGTGGGGTGTTACTGATGAAAACAGAAAAAGGTAGGCTGAGCCTTGAGAGGTAACCAACCTAGGAGAAGGAATACTCTGACGGTAAACCACTTTATTATCTTCCCCAATATGGCATAGCAAATTGCAAGAAATAAAGGAAAAGGAATCTGTGGAGAGCTATAATCGTGTGCATTTTGATGAGGTATAGCACACAAAGAAGTAGCAGATACTAAAGTGTATTTAGTTAATAGGAATCTCAAATAGCCTCATAGAACTTAAATCGCGAATATTTTGGTAGACGTCAAGGGCGATAACTCTTTACGCTGCGAATATTTATTTGTCCTTTACGTAAATTCCGAATTCTGGTTTACTAAATGAAATGAATCGGATAAAAAAATGTTTGGAAAATCTATGTTGAGTTAGTCTTGGCTTGACATTTACGGGAATATGTGATCTTTCGCAAAGTTACGATCAAAACAAATATTTGTGGCCCTAACTGCAAGAAATATTCATGCTGAAAGAATTTTGATTTGCATCTACGAAAGCTTACATATGTGAGACAATTTAGAAACCATTGATGTTGACATGTTTCGCTGATCAGAAAGCTTCATCAGAGAAATAGGTTTTATTTCGATCAAATCTACAATGACAAGAACAATGGCATCCACGTTAGTCATAAACTCTGTAATACGTTTTTAGCTTTTACTGTATGCATTTTTTAGATTAGATATGAATAAATATATTTGACAAGTTCTCTTACCGTATCTACTCGAGTAACGTGAAAGTTTTATATGATCAGTATTTACGCAAAAGGTAATTTTATTTTATTTATTTATTTATTTTTTTTGAAGAGGTTAAAAATGATGACCGGTTGCAATTATAAACAGGTAATTTTTTTTATCTATTAATATATGTCTGTTCTTATCTATCTATCTATCTATCTATCTATCTATCTATCTATCTATCTATCTATCTGTCTGTCTGTCTGTGTTCTTATTATCAATGTATGTATGTCTGCTTTCATCTATTTCTTTATGTTCTTATCTATCTATCTATCTATCTATCCATCTATCTATCTATCTATCTATCTATCTATGTTCATATTTATCTATGACAGTTCATATCTATCTATCTATCTATCTATCTATGACAGTTCTTATCTATGACAGTTCTTATCTATCTATCTATCTATCTATCTATCTATCTATCTATCTATGTTCTTATTTATCTATGACAGTTCTTTATCTATCTATCTATCTATCTATCTATCTATCTATGTTCTTATTTATCTATGACAGTTCTTTATCTATCTATCTATCTATCTATCTATCTATCTATCTATCTATCTATCTATGTTCTTATTTATCTATGACAGTTCTTTATCTATCTATCTATCTATCTATCTATCTATCTATGTTCTTATTTATCTATGACAGTTCTTTATCTATCTATCTCATCTATCTATCTATCTATCTATCTATCTATCTATGTTCTTATTTATCTATGAAGTTCTTTATCTATCTATCTATCTATCTATCTATCTATGTTCTTATTTATCTATGACAGTTCTTTATCTATCTATCTATCTATCTATCTATCTATCTATCTATCTATCTGTGTTCTTATCTATCAATGTATCTATGTCTGCTTTCATCTATTTCTTTATGTTCTTATCTATCTATCTATCTATCTATCTATCTATGTTCATATTTATCTATGACAGTTCTTATCTATCTATCTATCTATCTATCTATGACAGTTCTTATCTATCTATCTATGACAGTTCTTATCTATCTATATATCTATCTATGACAGTTCTTATCTATCTATCTATCTATCTATCTATGTTCATATTTATCTATGACAGTTCTTATCTATCTATCTATCTATCTATGACAGTTCTTTATCTATCTATCTATCTATCTATGACAGTTCTTTATCTATCTATCTATCTATCTAAATATCTATCTATCTATCTATCTATCTATCTATCTATCTATCTAATATACTTTAGGTATAGTGCGAGTTTTATTATCTGCATTTACGCAAAATTAGAGGGTCGCATTATACACAAGTAATATTTTTTTAAAGCAGTTAAAAGATCATGCACTTTTTTCGGTGACCGGTTGCACAAAACACATTTATTTTTTTTTTCTGTAACCGATTAAATTTCAAAAAGAATTATTGGTGACCTTAACCTACCTGGTAGGTTTCCATTCTCACAATACTTTTGGTTAACCTTAACAGTACAAGTAAGCTCCTTTATCCTGCCACCTCCTCCTCCTCCTCCTCCCCTTAGTCGAAATTCTTTCTCTGTTGCTAATGAAAAAGGGAATGTCATTCACTATGTGTGCCCTTGAAATCTGAAAATACCTTATATAAATGAAGATTTAACAATATATATTTTTTTTCATTTATCAATTTGCTTTCATCTTTGTTCGCATATGTTTTTATATCGCTGAGGTATTGCTTTTCCAACGGCCCCATTTTTGTTTGATTATATATATATATATATATATATATATATATATATATATATATATATATATATATATATACTGTATATGTTTCAGTTGTATTCCTTATTCTCTTTTCATCTGTTTATTTTTATTTTTATTATATTCTTTACAATTTACTGGTGTTATTTTATCTTTTAATTTTCCCATACAGATTCTTAAAATATTTTGACAAGGTTGGACCGCAATATATGGTAAAGGAAGATGAATACAACATTTATTAATTCTTCATTTATATAAGGTATTTGTTGATTTTAAATGGCATACATAGTGTATGATGTTTTGTTCTTCATGTAGTGACAGAAGCGTAAAGTAATGGAGCTACCATAGTCAGGCTTGAACGAAAAATAAAGTACGGTATCTAATTCTTCGTATCAGATATTTTGCTGTAAGTTTTTTTTTTCTTATCATTTTGGAGTCAGTCAGTTAAGTGCTATACGTGATACCCTCTTTGGCGATCATGGCATTTTCGATTCATGACTGACTAGGCAGAAGATTTTCCCGCAGTAAGTTTCCGTTTGTCTCTGCGGTTGAATGGCTAACAACAAAGGATATAGAAGCCAATCTATCCTACTATTTAACCCATAGATCGAAGGAGAAAAAAAGAGATTCATATCTTTCCCAAGGGTATTTGCGCGTAAGGGAAGGTAATGCGACCTCGGATCTCTCCGATCTTTCATTCCTAGTCGATATCCATCAAAAACACATCCCATTTTGGAGTAGCTTTATACAAAATAGAATGAAGATGATTTATTTGCTATAAAATATATCCAGGATGATACCAGAGTACTGCAATATTTGACTACGGCAGGTCTATTGTAAAGAAGCAGGCCTTATATTATACACGATATGAAATATGAAAATGTCAATTATTTAAAAAAAAATTCAGAGATTGAAGGATATATGAAGTAAGCTTATACACGATTATATAGGGTCCAAATTTAAATTTATTTTCCAAGAGTAGCTTCGATGTGGCACAAGGCCGAAAGAAAGGAGCACCCAGTGAGAATCGAACTCACTATTCAGTCTTAATTGTTCTAGCGAGACAAGCTTGCTAGCCATTACACCGCCTCGAGGTGCCCAAGTTATTTTCTAAGCGTAGCTTAGATGTGGCACAAGGGCGAAAGTATGAGGCACCTAGTGAGGACCAAACTCACTTTTAAGTTGTAACTGATCTAGCTTGTTAACCATTACACCACGTCGAGGTACCCTTAATTTATTTGATCATATATGAAGAAACTTTTTTGTATGTGACACTGGATATGCGTTTAAGATTTTACATTAAGCATCCCAGTCCAGCAAGGGTATCTGCTCAATGAGTCTTGGCATTATTATCGTTAACTCAGAGTTCCCTAGCAATATATAACTATATCATATTGGATGTCTGTCATAAATTGATCATTAAAGGTGTAGACTCTTAAAAATTTCCTACTTTTCAAATAGGAAATATTTTTCATAATTCGTCTTCATCGTTCTTTGATAACACTTATGTTTGTTAATCAACCAGATTGTCTATATTCTGTCCAGGGATATTCATACAGTTCCGATTCAAATTAATAGGTCCATTTGATATTTGTTTCACAAGACATAGTCAACTCAAAGTTTAACTGTCCTGAATCTGTGATAATATCCACATTTATTGGAAGTTAGAATTTGTTTGTTGTATATCTTTTACATATAATAAGTACTTTAAAGAAGAAACGATAGACATTCAGAAATTATCACGGAAAAGAAAATTAAATTGCCAAGAGGTATATACTCAAGAGATAGAATATTGCTGTCATATCTGAACGGAGGCAGCCCAGTCCTCCCTTGATAGAATACAAAAAATAGGTGATGAATTATTTTCTACCCTACGATTCATTTCCCACAGGAGACAAATCACGACCCTCTCCCTACTCTGTCGCTATTTCCAAAATATCCGTTCTGATGAGCCACATCCCTTATCCCCAGAAGCTCCGAATTTTACAACTAGGACCGCCTATACCACGTCCACCAGCGTGAGTCATCCGCATTCTATTTGTATTCCATTAGTAAGAAGAAGTTCCAATCGGGTAGATTCTTGCCAACATCTGACGTTTTGTGGAACAAACACTCGGTAGGGTTTTCTCCCACCCACATCAACCACAAACTCTTCAAGTCTACGCTTAACTCTTATCTTTCTTCTATAACCCCATGAAATTCACAATAACCCTCTACATTGAGTGACTACATCCGTGTCCAGGGTAAGACGATATACTTCGTCCAGCAGCAAGGGCTCTGATCATGAAGTTTTGAGGAGCGTGGAATCGCCTCTTAATATCTGGTGTTCCCAGGTCCACCTTGACCCGGGGTGGTAGCATCTGTTAGGGTCCTAGCTGTGGGCAAATAGTTAACACCCAAACTTGTGTAAAAATAGATTTTAATATCAGATATATTTTTGAAAGAGAAATTACTATCAGCATTACTTAAAAAAAAATACCAGCAATACAAACAACTATACATTCTTTGAAAAAAAATATGACCAGCTATAGATTTCTTCAAGGAAAAATATTCCCAGAAATAGATTTTTGAAGAAAAACATATTACCAGCAATAAAAATTTTGTCGGCATTAAATAAACCATTGTGGTTGATATGCTGTAAAACAAAACAAAGCAAACCAATCTACATTGAGTGTTTTTTTTTTTTACAGTAATGTTCATACTTTACAAGAACCGGACGCCACTCGAGGTAGAGGATTACGTTAGGATTAGAATTTGCCCGTATAAGAAAAAAAGATAATTTTTTAACTCTAGCCTTGAACAGATTAAGATTGTAGTGATCGGGAAAACATCCTCGTGGGAGTCGGTTACACAGAGCAATGGTTCGCGAGACGAAGCTGCTCCAGTGGAATACAGAGGGAATGTATATGGTTTGCTACTATGCAAGTGTTATACCATAATACCTATTCTATTGTAATAGACTCTCCCACAGATAATAAGTAGTAGTAGCAGTGGCTAGTTGGGCTCAGTGGTGTTGAGCGAGTCAGTCGATATCGGACATTGAAGTATCAACCATCACAACTAATTAATGCGTCATTAACTCATTATTTCAAGTTCCTAACGTTTGTACGTCGAACCTAATTTAGGACGACTTAGTGAAATACAAGCCTCCACTGTGAAAGCTACTCTACAACAGTAAGTGACATGGCGCGTTCTTACTGAGAAGATTTGTAGTTCGTCCGAGCACTTTCCGTGGAAGTAGCGGTAGAACAATGCGAGGATTGCCACTTATATAAACTGTGGGGAAGAGGTTGAAGGTTGGCTTAATAAATTTCACCTGCCAGTGCTCAGTGGGTAAAGATTACTACAAAAAATAAACAAAACTGCAATGATTTCCGACATAAAGTCTCACAGGTTCATATTCGTTCGACAGGGTAAGATGAAATTATTAATCGATGTAATATTTGTTCATATATATATATATATATATATATATATATATATATATATATATAGATTGTTGTAGAGTAGTTTCACAGTGGAGGCTTATATTTCACTAAGTCGGACCTAAAATAGGTTCGACGTACAAAACGTTAAGAACATGATATAATAGGTAATGACGCAGAGATCTAGTCGTTGTCGCTGATACTTTAATATCCGACTAACGGTCGTCCGACATCGACTGACTGACCAACTCACTGAGCGACTCAGCGACTGCTACTACTCCTACTTATTATAGGTGGGAGAGTCTATTAACAATAGAATAGGTGTGTTCCAATATAATATATATATATATATATATATATATATATATATATATATATATATATATAAGCCAAATCAAAACCGTAATATACCTAAAAATAAATCGTAATTTATATTAAAAATGATTCTGGATCAATGTAGTTATGAAGATATTTATTTTTATGCCTGCATCTAACCATCTGTTCGTTTTTCTTGTTTAATAAGCTAGGGTTATTTAAGTATTTCAAGATAACTAATTTTTTTCCTTTCCTGTAATAAAATTTAGCTCTTTTTATAATATCCCACTTCAGTGATGGTGAGAAGCCATCATTCTTTAATTGCCAGAAATATTTTGAGAGAGAAGTACTGTTTTTGAATTTTATATTACCTAAGGTCATTCGATATTTTGCGACAGCTGTATTTGCTTTTAGAAATATTTACGTTGTCTTCGTTGGAAATATATTTGTTTAATAAATTGTTGTTATGCTGGGATATGGTTTTATCTATGCTATTGGCGCAGATATAGCTAATTTTAACATTATTTTTGTTAAAAATATTTTTTAGCGTTGGTGAATGGTTAAAATGCCCATAGTTTAAAATTACGAACATCCTCATTCGTTTGAAGTATGACTAAAAGATGTATTCAACCAATTTTACACTTACAGTGTTTCCATTTATTTTTCCCTTCTATGTCTTTTTCTGAATACTCTAAATTTAATTTATGATTGCATACGTCTAAAGCCTTTATATATTTAATGTTATTATTATCGAATATTTCCAGTATTTGTCTATGTTTCTGAGATGAGGTATTATGTACACTATTTACATTATTCGGACTATTGTCCTCATCTTCGTCGCCATGTTTATCACAACGTTGCGGACTTTCAGTATCTGTCTATATTTCTGAGATGAGGTATTATGTACACTATTTACATTATTCGGACTATTGTCCACATCTTTGTTGCCATATTTATTACAACGTTTCGGCCTTTCTGTATGTGTCTATATTTCTGAGATGAGGTATTATGTACACTATTTACATTATTCGGACTATTGTCCTCATGTTCGTCGCCATATTTATTACAACGTTTCGGCCTTTCAGTATCTTTCTATATTTCTGAGATGAGGTATTATGTACACTATTTAGATTATTCGGACTATTGTCCACAATCTTTGTTGAAATATTTATTACAACGTCTCGGCCAATTTAAATCCGGCCTTCTTCATTTGGTCGGAATGTCGAAAAATAAATTTTATTTCGTTCACTGGGGTAAATCATTTCTAGTCCATTATTTGGATAAATTTAAATTGGTTAGATCCAGTGACAATTTTTATAAAAAAAATGAGTTCAATACCCGGTTAAGGCAGTGGAGAAAATGCAGAGGACAATGAAAAGGAGAAAACTGATATTTGACATCCACTAAACATGGCACGTGGAGCGTTTTAGAACATATATTCGATGAATTAAATATTTTGCACACCTCATCGGACTTTTAAACCTGCATTTTAATTTTTTACGAAAATTTTAATGGTCCTTCTCTAAAACTTCCAGCCAATTTTGAGTATTGTTATTTGTTGATCACAAAAAACACACATTATATATATATATATATATATATATATATATATATATATATATATATATATAAACAATATATTAACCTAATTGAAATAATAAAACAAACAATAAATATTCTATTATACAACCCAGTGTGTCTGAAAATTTAAATTTTTTTAATTTTTTCAATATTTTTTATCGTTCGAAATATATATATCTATATATCTATATATATATATATATATATAGATAGATGGATAGGAAGATAGATAATAGATAGATGGATGACATTAGTATATGTATATATAGAGATATAAATTCCCAAGAGGATAGAAATTTTAGAACACAATGGCCAGGACAAATTTAAGAATATAATATAAAACATAAATATATATATATATATATATATATATATATATATATATATAAAATGTGGATTGTGTGTGTGTGTTGTGTGTGTGTGTGTGTGTGTGTGTAGAAATAATATAGCACAGATTCCTTTATCACGAGAAATAAGGTTATAAACCCTTTTGGTAAAAATGATCCTTTTGCGATTAGCATTTTTGAAGGTTTCACAGACCAATCCTTCGATGGTCATTCTCTTGTGTAGGTTTGACAGATGAATCTTAGATGCGGATATATATATATATATATATATATATATATATATATATGTATGTATGTATAATGTAATCGTCTACAGTGATGGGCCAACCATTCTTCTTTAGAGCCTAATTGACAACAACTTATGGATTTCACCTGAGAAAAGGCAAGGACTACTGCGGATGGAGGTCCAGTTTGGGTGGATAAATAATATTTATAGTGGAAAATAAATAAAAAGATATATATATATAGTCATTAAACAGCAATTCATACAAAAGTTTAGGAAGGGAACCGCCGTCATTACTGGAAAGGGTGATAACAGCACCGGATTGTGGAAACTATTATCCACAAAATTTATTTTAAGAGATAGATTTTATAACGTTTAACTAAAAGCAGTATTGGCTGCTCGATTAACGAATGATGAATATTACCTGATAAGTTCTTATTCCAGTGTCATTTCGAAAGGCCAAGGATGAAGACATGGGCAACTATCCTATTTGGGTCTAGTCACTGGATCGAATGTTTTTATCCACTGGGCCGAAACGTTGTGAATATGGCAATGAAAATGAGGATAACAGTCCGAATAATGTAAATAATGCAAGTAATCATAATACCTCATCCCAGAGCTATAGAGGCCGAAACGTTGTGAACATATAAATTACATAATAGAAAAATTCAAAATGACCTCATAAGTATAGACAATTTTAACTAAATCATTGACGTTATGTAATATACATACATACATACATACATATATACTATTATATTGCTCTGTTCTTACATTGAGATCTCTTTGGATTAATGTCCTCCTTGGAATTATCCCTACTAATTATAAGAGGTGGGTAAATCAAATAAGTAGATATTAGCAATCGTATATGCGCGCGTTAGCGTGTATACACAAGTAAGCAAATAAATATTTACTAAATTTACTTTTAGGTGTAAACATAACAGTGCTCGATGTGGTTACACAGAGCTAAGCAATATATATAGATAAATATACATATACATAACTTTGGGGTGCGATTTAAGTTTCGTTGTTTTACCAACTCATCAGACACGAAATATTACTTACGATTTAAAAACATAATTTATAATTTAATTTTTTTAAAAAAATCCCAAGTTATATTTTCGTGCTATTTCTTGGTAAAACAACGAAATTTAAGTCGCACTTTAAACGTTGGTATATATATATGGCATTTTTTTATCTTAAGGGAAAGTGACCCATTCAAAAATTCAAAAAATAATGTGGGAGAGCTCATATGGAATCCAAACTATACATTGTTAATATAATTATAAGCCTGTTCACTGTGTCTTAACGAAACAATTTATATTTCTCCTGAAACTATCTTGCATATATATGATAGTATTCAACACGAAAATGCTTATAATATTGGAATGGAACATATATGGTTATCCAAAGTGACATATGTCTATATTATAAATAATTCTGTTATATATATATATATATATATATAATTATTTATTTAAAAATATGATTCCAACTCGCGACATAAGAGGTCTCATGTTTCAAAACAAGAGCCGAAAACTTGAATTAAATTGAGTTAAAGTGAGCTCTGTTCCATCTTCAAGCGAATATTTTTTTTGGAATAACGTATTTCTGAAATTTACGTGTTTTAATAATTGAAATCAAAATTTCCATTGTAACAGCTAGGGTGAATTGTTTAAATTGGGTAGGCGTGTGTTGGGTGTTAATAATAAGTATCAGTATAGAGTTACTTTCATAGATGTCAAGTCAGGGTAAGGTGGAGGTGTCTACATTTGAAACGGAAGATGTATATATATATATATGTGTGTGTGTGTGTGTGTGTGTGTGTTTTGTTTTGTCTTCCTTTTATGTAGATGCACATATTCGAATCTATCTATCTTTCTATTTCTATTTTTTGTATTTCTATTTCTGTCTGTTTATCTATCTATCTATCTATCTATCTATCTATCTATCTATCTATCTATCTATCTCAGTTTGTTCTCATTTATCTATTTATCTATCTATATATTTATTTCTGTGTCTGTCTATTTCTATGTCTATCTGTCTATCAGGGTTTGCTCTCAACTATCTTTTTATCTCGATATGATTCACAGTGAATAAAAACATCTGTCCTTTATATGTAAACTAGATGCATTGATTGTTGTGCGAAATAAAGGCAACTGGGACATCAGAAAGAAAGAAGAAAGAAAGAAAGAAAGAAAGAAAGAAAGAAGAAGAAAGAAAGAAAGAAGAAGAAGAAAGAAAGAAAGAAAGAAAGAAAGAAATAGAAAGAAATAGAAAGAAAGAAAGCATAGATCCGTGTGTGAACGAGATAAAATAAAGCGTACAAGACAGGTAAAGGGAGAAGATTTAGAGAGAGTAAAAAGGAGAGATAGGATGTGACAAGAGAGAGAGAAAGCACAATAGAGGGATTTTGTTAGAAAACAAAATGGCGGTGAAGCATCGTTACGACAATAAACCCATTGAAAATGTCTGACATTTACAACAATACGATGTAACTAGTTTTACATGATTTATCTTGTAGTTTTTGCGTTAAGCATTTTCACTCTTTCTGCTTTTATTACGCGTCTGACTTAATCTTATTTTGTTGCTTGTATCACATCTCTGCGAGCATTAAGACCAATGGAACGAAATCCCAAACACGGTAAGAATTTTCTATAAGAATCGAAATCGCATCTCACCACAAGGGAACCCATTTTATACGGAGATCAAGTGGGGCACCTCGGGGCGTTGTAATGGTTAGCAGGCTTGTCTCGCTAGAACAATTACGACTGTGTAGTGAGTTCGATCTTCACTGGGTGCCCCATACTTTCGGCTTTGTGCCACATCTAAGCTACGCTTGGAAAATCATTTATTAGCAAGTTCGGCTTGCTAGATCAATTACGATTGAGTAGTGAGTTCGATCCTCACTGGGTGCCCCATACTTTCGGCTTTGTGCCACATCTAAGCTAAGCTTGGAAAATCATTTATTAGCAAGTTCGGCTTGCTAGAACAATAACGACTGAGTAGTGAGTTCGATCCTCACTGGGTGCCTCATACTTTCGGCCTTATATATACATCTAAGCTACGCTTGGAAAATCAATATACGGAGATCAAGTGAGTGCAAACCACCATCAGAACCCTCCACAGTATTCTTATTGCGACTTTAATCTCTATTTTGTGTGTTGAAAAGCAGAAAGAACTTACCGTTATGGAATCAGGAATTAAAATTAATGATGTATTTTTCTTTGTATCATTTCACCCCAAGCTATGTGATTTTTGTGATGTCAACGAATACTTGTTGCCACTTTTGTAATGCTAACAAATATTTTTTTGTCACTTTTTTAATGATACATATTAGAGATTTTGTAATCGCAGATACAATTATATTACATTTTGATCACTTTTATTGGTATGAGATGCCTTCCATTAATCTCGCACTAATAGTACTTGCTCAATAATACTCGCTTGAAGAGTAATCTGTATAGTGATCCGAATAGAGTAATAGTATAGTAAATAGAATAGAGAATAGCGGACCGTATATTAATAGAGGATAGAATAGAAATAGTGATCAGTATAGTTATAGAGGGTAGACTAGAAGTGGTGATCTAATTCACTAACCTAAAAAAACGGTCGGATGTTGCAAGGCCTAGTTTATAATTAAAAATTAATCCGATCATTTAAAGGCTCAGCCATATTTCCCCGTAGAAGAGAATAAAAAAATACTGGTTCGGGTATAAATTTATCCGAGACGAGATATCTGCCCTTCGACACAGCCTCGTCTGGGGACCCTCTGCTGGAAAAGAAGAGTTTTTAACCAGCACACTCTGAAATAATGATCCGAATAGAGAAATAGTACAGTGAATAGAGTAAATAGCGGTCCTTATAGTAATAGAGGATAGACTAGAAATGATCCGTTTAGTAATAGAGGATAGACTCTTTAACGATCCGTTTAGTAAAGAGGATAGACTAGAAATAACGATCCGTTTAGTAATAGAGGATAGACTAGAAATAACGATCCGTTTAGTAATAGAGGATAGACTAGAAATAACGATCCGTTTAGTAATAGAGGATAGACTAGAAATAACGATCCGTGTAGTAAAAGAGGATAGACGAGAAGTTGTGATCAATCTAGACGTCACTTCATATATATGCGTTTTGTCTATGGTCACGTGGTCTACTTAATTCAATAATGAGAACCCCCTTGAATGCTCACTGGCGACCTATGTTCAAACTCAAGTGTCGGCAGTGATACTTTATACCTATATAACAGCAATATATGCACTAAGATACAATGGATTATTGGGAATGAAAGAGAATGAGAAGGAACCGGAAATCCACTTCTAAACAGGAAACAAGGGATAAACCACTACTCCTGTTCAATTTGTTATCTTATTATACAACTATTCACCCCTGTCTTAGTAGAAATTCAGAATGCTTCGAAAGGTCAAACTGGAAGCTGTTAAATAGTGCCAGGTGTTGTTTGCTAATTTTAACAGCTCAAAACCCCCTAATCCTAAACCTAACTCAGCTAACTTACGAGCAGTTTAAAACTTTCTTCTTCTTTTATGTGCCTCTTCCTGAGTAGGCGATAATGATCCTCCACATCTTCCTTGTCCCTTGTACCTCTAAGTTTTGTCTTTTTGTTAGCTTTCACAAACCCTATACAGCCATCCATTTACTGAAGCTTATCAAATATTTTACACGTTACTTTCTATTGGTACTTTTTTCCTCAATCAGTCCAAAGTCAATAAAAATTTCCGTCCTAAATCATAGGGCATGCCAGAAATTTCAATTCTGTTCTTTCTGTTATTAAATTTAAAAAAGTTTTTTTTTGTTTCATTTTTTTAAAAAAAATCGTTGTTGTTCACATGTTAAGTCCATGGTATCCCTCAATCTTTTCTTTCTGTGAGTTCAAATCTCTTCTTGTTTTTTGAAAAAATATTCATTAGATTCTCCTCTGCCATACATTGAAAATTAGGACATCAGGTTTAAACCGTCGTAAGGTTATGTGCACATTTTAAACCAATATATATATATATATATAGTTATATATTAAATATATATATATGTTATATAGACATGGACAATTGCATCCAGCAGAAAAACAGCCTTCCAACAAAATTGAAATTCAATTTTAAATAATATTTAAAAATTTATCTCTGAATTCTAAATAATGATTTTTTTAAAAATATATTTTTTAAAAACACACCCATAAAACTATGATTTTATATAATTATATATATATATATTAATATATATCTATAAAAATGATGTTTTTTGTATGAAATAAACATGAAGGTGATATGTTTAAAAATACCAAAAATTCAAAATTCGTTTTATTTTTAAAAAAAAAAAATTTAAAACAACAGATTTCCGTCAGGAGCGATTATTTTTAAAATTTTTCAAAATTATCCCAATATATATATTTTATATCTTATATATAAACATCATATAATACATAATATAAATATATATATATATATAAAACAATATTGACTTTATATTATTTTCGTTTTATTGTTACTAAACAAATATATATATGTCCCAGAATGTTTATATATTATAAATATAAAATCATAAATATATATGGTTTTTTATTGGAATGAAAAAATATATATAGAATATATATATTATATAAATATATAAAATATATATGTTATATATATATATATATATATATATATTAATATATATATATATATATATATATATAAAAGAATTTGTATATATATAAAATATAAATTATTTTAAATTTTATAAATTTAAAAATTAATATATATAAATTTATATATGAAATATTATATATATATAATATATATATATTAAAAAAAAAGAAAATGTTTTTGTTCCTATTCCATTATAAAAAAATTTATAATTGGAATATAATAAAATCCAAAAAAAAAGAAATAAAAATTCAAAAAGAAATTTGAAAATATAAAAAAAAAAAAAAAAAAAAAAAAAATTCAGAAAACTGATCAAATAAAAATTAATAAAAATTCAATTAACCAAATTACATTATATATATATATATATATATATATATATATATATATATAAATATAATATATATTTTAATTTTTTTCAATTATAATAAATTCATCTGAAAAAAATTTTACAAAAAACACAGTTTAAGACAAAAAATGCTTCTTCAATGATTAAGAATAATTGTGATAAAAATTAGTTATCTTAAATATAAAAAAAAAACAAGTCTTTAATCTTTTTTCAAAAGTTTAGATTTTGGATAATATATAAGGTCAAATTGAAAAATAAATCATGGCATAATAACATCAAAATAATATAACATATATATTTCCCGCACTTCCTGCCTGTGGAACTCCTTTTTCAACTTTTATTCCTGAAAAATCTACAAAAATTTTTGAACAATATGAAAATGGAATGTCAATAAAATTCTAACTGCTTGAATGTTTGTTCATCTTTTATCCTTTCCTCAATTTTTATATTAATTATTTCTTTTTATTGAGAACATAAAAAATTTGAACTTAAATTTCCTAGTGGCTATTAACGCCTTTGCTTTTTTGAATGATTAAAAAAATATAAATTCTCAATTGGCCATAAAGTTATTAAAGAAATTAATTTACTTACAATCCGCCAAATCTATAAAAAAAATGTTTTTATCAAAAATCATTTTTAACAAAGTGTTTAACTCCCGAAAATAAAATAATGCGTAAACCATTCATTATTTATCATTTCAATAAAAAAACGGTTTTTATTTTATGGTTCATCATATTTTTTTTGTAGGTTTTATAATTGAGTATTCCCGTAATAAAAAAAAAATAACCTTTTAAGCCGATTAAATTTTTTAAACATAGAAATTACCTCCCCGGAAAAAAAACCTTTTTTGAAAAAATATTGCCTCGTCCGGGTAGAAAATATTTAATGCATGAAAGTTCGACCACTTTTGCAAAAAAAGACCGCTCAGCACCATCTAAACCATTTTATCACAATGTATTCAAAACAAAAATTTACCGAGAAAAAAAAAATAAATATTTATGCAGAACGTAAAAAATATTTTGAATATGAAAATTCTCTCGTTAGGAGGTTATTGAGAAGACTATATTTCATAGGATAGTTCTGTTATGGTCCGTAAAATAACATGCAGGCTCTTTAAACAATGGAATATTCAGCTGCAAGGATGTCTTTGTTTTATTAAAATAAACTTTATTTTTAAATAAAATATAATTAACAATGATCGAACCATGATGGAATGATGAATTCTTAATAACATGACAAAAAATGTCATCAAATAATTAAATGCATTTTGCCTGCTTCGTCTAACGCTTTCCACTGACCTGAGGTGGAACAACTACATTGAATCAATAGCTTCATCTACCGCAAGGAAAGTTAGTTCTCAGTGTCGCGCCAGAAGGTTTTTCTCGCCAGAGTCCATCCTTCAAATCTACAAATCAATCATTCGACCTTGCATTGATTACTGCCATATATGGTCTAGTGCCCCCGCTGTTCATCTTGAG